AGGAATCTGAGATAAAGGTGAAGCTTGACCAGGTGACCTGACAACTGGGTGTGGAAAGCTCAGCTGCCTTAGTTCATCTTTGGTCTCCCCAAGTGCCTTTATTCTCCCTTATTATCTTACTAGTGGCCTGGTGCATGAAATTTGTGCACATTAAAAGGAAAATAATTAGAGGAAAAATTTTAATATTGCTATTTGCCCTTTCTCTATAATAGAAGTGTCAGAGATGAAAGAAAATTAGTAAAATGTATATGAAAATCTCTCTCCTCTCAGAATCTGGGGCACACCACAGGACCTAGAATCAAGTCCCCGCCCAACCATGTGCACCTCGAAATCGTGCCAGACTGAGACCCGGCCGGTCCCACCCCCTGTTAAGCACCACAGGGTCGGAGGGAGCAGCCTCAGATCCCTCATCAAGCCCCACCAGGTGACGGGCGTGGCCTCAGGTCCCCTGCCCCAGCCTGGCACCACGCAGCCTCAGGTCCCTGCTGATTTGTCATTACGGTGTCACGGCATTATGGCATCATGGTGTGATGACCATTTGCATATTAGCCTTTTATTATGATGATTCTTGTCACTCATCCTTTAAGAGATTGCCACACCCCTTTTTTAAATGACTTTCTGACACACCTTTACAACACCTCACCCCCAAAATGTTAATAAATTCCCTTTTCCAAGTAAAACTGAACATCTGTACTTTAACCTACAGGCACCAAAGGGATGTAAATTTCATTAACTTTCTTGTCTGTGTTTCAGAAGTTTGATTCGGTGGAAGACATCATTGAACACTACAAGTATTTTCCTATTGTGCTGATTGACGGGAAAGATAAAACCCGAGCCCACAGGGAGCAATGCTACCTGACGCGGCCCCTCCCTCTCAACAGACTCTCCTCGCCTTAGTAGCCTGATCTGCTTACCTTCAGTTCACAGGATCCCAGGCCTCTATTATTTTTCACCTCTTTCCAAAAATTCTTCTTCTGGGGTTTTAAGGGATTACATCTTAGACTGCAAAGAAAAGAAAAACGTTCTATAATGGAAATTGGAAACTCAACCATGGTTTTTGAAATCTCAAACCACAGAATATGTATAAGATGCATAAATCAAAACTAGTTTTTCAAAAATATGTTCTAAAGAAAAAAACTGTAAAGACGGTCATTGTGCTCAAGTTACAGATGAGCAACAGAGGTTACAAGAAACTATCGCTGGGATGTTTGCAGCTGGCACATGGCGAGTCTGGGGGAGACCCCCAAATCTATGCTCTTCCAGGACCTCGTGAGGCCTTATTTACTTCAGAAATGTTTGGACTTGTGAACTTACAATGTTTTCAGGATTCCTTATGCTGAGGTGTTAGTGAATGGCAGCTCTATTTTATTTGTGATCCTGGAAATTCAGTTTCAGAGAAGCAATGTGGTAGGACAACAAGAGCACTTGTGAGTGTCACTTGAAAGACAGAAATCAGAAATGCGTTCCCTGTGGTGTGAAACGGCCAGCTCCAGTGCATTCTGCTTAGAGTCGCTGTAAGACGAATGGAATTAGGCGTTTCCTAGTAAGGGAGTAAGCTTACGCCTGAGGGAAGGTATAGTTATTCTTACAAGTCCAACTGTGGACTTCCATTTGAAGGAAGAGCAGGCCTCACATTAGCGTTATGTTGCGGGAACATTGCACTGTCCCTGCTCAGGGCCAGGAGGATGCACTTTCATTCAACAGAAGAAGAGAGGCAGGATTTTTATCCTTTCTTGCCTGGCTCCCTCCAAGCACATCTTCCCAGGTACATTTCCTGCCCTGTGAAATTTTACAGAGAGAGAGAGAGAGAGAGAGAAATGATTTGAAAGTACAGAGTTACCTACCTTAAAATATATCAATAAGTAAACTCTTGTAGTGACGTTTAAAAAAATAAAAAGAGTCCTGGTTGGAATGAATAGTACACAATGACTTCAAATGTTACCAAAGCCTGCATGTGAAAGTTATAGACTATGTCATTGTAGCTAGAAGTAAAACCAAAAGAGCATTAAAAGGCAAGGGATACCAAGGAAAATACTGCACACAATGCCCAGGATTCTCTCTCGTCCAAAATAGCAGACAATGAGCACTGGGAGCATTTGCCAACCAGCGGAGCAGGTGCCTGGCTCTGACCTTTCACAAGGTCAATGTGAGGTAACGCCTCTAGGACAGACCAAGAGCATTTGATGCAGAAGCTCCTTGTAAAGTTGGAACTTTTTAAAAAAATATTTTCATTGATTTCAGAGAGGAAGGGAGAGGGGCGAGAGATAGAAACATCAGTGATGAGAGAGAATCATTGATTGGCTCCCTCCTGCACACCCTATACTAGGGATCAAGCCGGCAACCGGAGCATGTGCCCTGACCGGGAATCAAACTGTAACCTCCTGGTTCATAAGTTGATGCTCAATTACTGAGCCTCACCAGCCAGGCAAGTTGGAACTCTTGATGCCCACCTGAGCCTGTCTTAGGTGTGCCTGCACAGGGCAACATGGGAACCAAGAGACAAGCGTGTATACATTGGAGCCTGGCTACTAAGGAGCAGACTGATGAGAGCTGAAGGCAGTATGGGGGCTCATCGCTCACCTGGGCTTCAGCAAGCCCCAGCTAGTGTGGAAGCGGGCTCTGCAGAGTGTCCACGGGCTCATGTGTGGGAAGAATCTACACCTCACTCTAAAAAGCTACTGGCAGATTTCACCAAGACCTCCAATTCACCTACCACAAGGCCCTGCCATTCCATGCTGTGTTCTCAAGAAATGTTTCTGAGTCTCCTCAAGCACTGCTCTTGTTAAAATAAATGAACATCAGGTCGTGGCTAGCATTTTTATGAAGCTTATGGGTTTTTTAAATGTTTTATCACCTCTTATTCATAAATGCATGGTATGATGCTATGAGGAAAAGGAATCGACCTTCTTAAAATAGAATGCTCACAATACTTAACATGTGAAAAAATCTTTGAAAAGAAGATATTGACAGGGCTGGCTTAGATGATTGGGCTTTGAGGCATGTTAGCTGGGTCTTTCTGGAACTCAGATGCCAAGGTAGGAGTTAGAACTGCAAACATTTAGTGGAAGTAGTGCCTGTGAAAGATAAGGGGGGAGAGAGACAGGAGGAGGCAGGGAGAGCCTTCAGGCTGTGATGTAGGTCTGAGACTTGTGGGAGGAAAGAGGGAAGGAGGGAAGATGAGTGGGAAGAGCATCAGACTGAGATGCAGCACTGGGAGAGCCTTGGCCAACCCATTGGTAAGATCCAGAGCAAAGATTGCCCGTAGAGGAGAGAGTCCCACACTGAGCAGAAGTGGCCAGGTGTTCGCACACCACCCATGTTGACTCATGCCAGGGGCTCTCCAGGAAAAACATGACCTTCAAATGCCACGGGACATCCAGAGGCACTGCAGCCGGAGGCTGTCAGGGAACTTGGCAATCAGCAGGTTCTTGGAAGGGAGAGCCAAGCGGCCCAGCCCCGTGTCTGCCGAAGGGACAATCCGGTTCTCGGTGTTGATTGTAATGACATGTTGCTTGTAATAAGTCACTAAAGGATAAAGGTTTATAAGCTTTAACTGTACTTGATTATTACAACAGCTCTGTGAAGAGGGCAGGGCCAGGATTCCGAACCCATGTATGGCGGGGGAAGCTGTGCCTCCTTGGCCAAAATCTTACGGTGACCTAGTCACGACTGGAACCAAGTTTTTCAGACACCACACTCCATTCGGTGTCTGTGTCTCATTGATCTGTAATTAAACGCTCGATGATTTGGGCTTGACATGCCCGCATTCCAAAAGGCTTTGATCCCTCTTCATTATGATTTCATTTTCAGTTGAGAAGTGTCACTTTATACCTCGCCTCGCTAGAGCTGTGGGATTTTAGCTTTATCTGATTATAGCATTCATGAAGATTTCTTTCCGACTACATCATCCCCATTTGGATCCATTTGGATCTTCCTCATCTTTAATAATACCTTGTTGCAAGCACTAGTTTGTGTATGAGTATGTATACTATGTTGCTAGGCAATCTTGTAGATGTTGGAATTACAGCAGTGAATTAAGTGGGAGAAACAGACAGCAAATAGTAAATAAGATCATCTAAGTTGGTTTCCCATGACTTTGTTGTAGTTTTGCTTTAACACTTTATCACTGAGGGCTTGTAGTGAGGCCAATATTAGATATTTTGCTGGAGCCAATTTAAGATGGTTTTAAAATGTTTTCAACCAGAAAATGTTAAATTTTTCAAATTTACTTAATGGAAAACTGCTCTTGGGTGTACTTGTGTGGGGGGTTGGGAGGCAGGATACTAAGATAATGTATAGAAAAATCTCCAAATATTTGGAAATTAAGCAACGCATTTCTAAATTACTCATGGTCAAAGAAAAACACACAAAAGTCTAAAACTATTTCAAAATGAATGATAATGAAATATAATATAGCAAAATTTAAGGGATACAGCTACCATTTAATTATGATTTAATATAAGCTTGGTAGCTTAAATGGCTTAAATGCTTATACTGTATTAAAGATAGTTCTATAATCAAGTACAGAAGTGTCCAGTTTACGACATAAAGAAAACATAAATTAAACCCAAACTAGCTAGAAAGAAGAAAATATTAAGGATAAGAGCAGAAATCAATGTTACAAACAAAAGGAAATAAAAGAAAACCAACAAACCCAAAAGTTGGTTCTTTGAACAATTAAAATTAATTAACAGCGAGCAAAAGTAATAAAAAACATAAGCAAAAAAACCCAAAATTCCTAAAGAATAAAACAGATCGTACATACATTGGAAGGCTATTAAAGACAGATCATAAATACCTTTCTTTCAGTGAGGTTGAAAAATATAATTCCATAGAGACAATACTAATACAAGAAGAAACAGGAAATCTGAACAGTACTCCAATTTTTTTATATATATATTTTATTGAGTTTTTACAGAGAGGAAAGGAGAGAGATGGAGAGTTAGAAACATCGATGAGAGAGAAACATCGACCAGCTGCCTCCTGCACACTCCCCACTGGGGATGTGCCCGCAACCACGGTACATGCCCTTGACTGGAATCGAACCTTGTGTGTGTGTTTTAATATATTTTTATTGATTTCAGAGAGGAAGGGAGAGGGAGAGACAGAAACACCAATGATGAGAGAGAATCATTGAGTGGCTGCCTCCTGCACAACCCCTACTGGGGATCAAGCCCGCAACCCAGGCATATGCCCTTGACTAGAATCACACCTGGGACCCTTCAGTCCGCAGGCTGACGCTCTATCCACTGAGCCAAACAGGCTAGGGCCAGCACTCCATTTTTTAAAAGAAATTAGCAACTTTCCCACACAAAGAAAGCTCTGGATCAAGCATGTCAAATTCACAGCCTGCGGGCCGCATGCCTCATTTATTTGGCCCGTGTTAGCCTTTGAGTTTGACATGCTTGCTCTACATCATGAAGGATCCTATAAAAAATGTTAAAATTATAACACAAAATTCACAAACTTTTTAAGAAGGTCGAGAAAGAGAGAACATTTCTGAACTCTTTATAAGGCCCCCATAAGCCCAATCATAAACAAATCACAAATAAGCACATAAGCCTGATACGGACAATACAAAGAAAGGAAAGTCCAGATTATGTGCCCTAAGCATAGATACAGAAATCCTTAACAAAATGCTAATGAGTAAACGGATGGTAGGTGGAGCAGTCAGGCTTCTCACTACTAGAATGGGCGGTTACTGGTAAGCAAAGGATCAGGTCAGAATGAGCCATAACTCTGCATGAGATTTGGAGACGTCAGTATGCATTCATGTTTTGCTTAATATAGACCTACAGGGATAAACATAGAAATATTACACATGTTAGTATACACACATCCAGTTCCAAACTCTGTGCACTTAGGGGGCCTAGAAGCAATGACACTGATAGAAGAAAGAAAAAAAAAGTGGGAGGAGGTGAGGAGGCAAGC